GCAGGTAAAATGGCGAGTACCCTCTCCTTTCCTTTCCTTTCCTTTCCTTTCCTCTCCTCTCAATAGACTGTTTCTCTCATCCAGTTGCACAAAATAATTTGGATTATCTTAATTCACAGTGATGCTCTGTATATTTCAAATTCCTAACTTTTCAGATTATTTTTTGCAGAAGGAAAATAAAACAGTAACTTTAAGTCTGAGTGAAGAGAATCCTGGGAAATGTAGGAAAGTGAGGACTAACCAAGCGGCTCAGCTTGATTCTCACTGGATACATCTGTTGGTTTAGCGATGCAAGTCATGCACAGCTCAATTATTCCCCATGAGATTTTCTCATTTCACCATTGAGTTCAAAGCAGAAGGAGAAAATGAAATAATCAAAACTGCAAAGAATAACAGTAACAGCATGGTCATGGTGGAAATGTGATGGGCTCCAGTCAGACACACAAATCTATAACTGTCTAACTTATAGATGTACTTTAATCCGTGTTCCTCAATCTGCAGCAGAAGGTGCATCCTTAGATGGAGCCGTGTGTGTGTGTGTGTGTGTGTTGTGCTTTCTGAGCTCAGGGTGGTAGTGAGGCAGCTTAACGCAATAAAGCATGTTGTATTGACATCTGTGTTGTGTCTATTGATTCCCCATTATGGAGCTAACAAACCCGCCTGGACGCTTTGTCATTCGCAATCACGTTAACACCGGGACTCGCCGACAAATGCTGCCCCTTTTTAAAACCCGATCCATAAACACACACGCACACACACACACAAAGGCAGGTGTCCTCACATGAACGCACCTTCTCACATTCCTGCACATCCACCGTCATTGTTCACGTCACCACACGCAGTCGCACGCTCCCCAACTGCCCACGTTGAACACACATCGTGGTACTGGTGGAGGGGAAGTCGATGCCGGTTGATCAATACTGGTGGAAGGTTAAAACCACTCACACAATGGGTAGCTATGAGCTTCTTGTGGTTCGCCACACATGCCGGAACGATCCATAACTGACCTCAACGTGCAATTATCGAATCGTCTACCTGTCTGCCTTATCGCGCATGCATGAGGAACACAAACACTCTGACTCCAGCTTGCATGAGGTCTATCCTCTTTTAGCTATTTACACATCGCCCAGGAGACACGGTCACGCCGACCTGATCCAAACATTGCCTCATGCCCACACCTCCAAACATCCTCCCAATCCAAGCAGAGAAGCTTGTTCTCCGCTTTGAGCTGCAGAGGAAGAGCTTTGCTCGTACATGCAGAGACCCACAGAAAGGCAATTAATGCAGACATGGGGGGACCTCTGCTCAGGCTCAGTTAGGTGTAGTTCAGACACCACAAACCCCCCCTACTGAGCTCTGTGAGGTGAAGATCCTGGGTGAAAGGGAAGGTAGTTATCAGCAGCAAACACTGCGTTTATATACACTATATATGGCTGTATATGTATAAGGGTTTGTTGTTGTGTGGGCAGGAGGTCTGTGCTTTGAACTCTGCAATAAAAGTTTCTCTGCAGTGCTGCCACACAGCCTCATTGTTTCTTTACTCTGGTCATTTATGGCCTCCCGAAGCTGTTTCTTCCTTTTGTTCTCTTTCTTTCTGGTAAAATAATCATGTAAAATAATGACTTTTCATCACCTTGGTTTTACAATGTTGCAGAGGATCGATGATAAAGAAGTTGGTGCCGCCGCAGCCTGAGCAGGAGGCCATACAGAGTGGCCGGCATAAATAAAGCATCTCTCTCAATCCAAACCCTGACAGCTCTCAGTTTTATATGGGCCACAGTGGACCTGGAGGATTTTACAGCAGTGTACATAAAATAAAAGAGCATTTAGATTTCCTTTGTTGTGCTGCAGAGCGGGGACAAAGCGGAGGCAGCTACAGGTCCCTCTCCGCCCAGCCTGCCCTCTGAAAACCACACAGCAGAATAAAAACCCTCTGATCAGATCTCCCAGCTGCACAAAAAAGGAGGATTTAACTCTTAGAGGCAACTGAAAATAATTCGGACAGGATGGTTTGTTTGCAGGGCGCTTCATAACTAAAATCAACAAAGAACAAAAGCTGCGTTTTAGAGAAGAGATGCTCCTCTCTCCTTGTTCTGTTTGTTGTCTCTGTAGGCCGCGGTTGACATGAATGAGATCTCAGGGTTCCTCCTGAGAACCTATGCTTTAACAGCAGCTCCAACACTGACTGAAACTGCCTAGTTTTAATTTTAAATAAATATTACTAACAAAATGTTTAAATAATTATCACGACAATTTCTTTATAGATGTCTTCAGAAATCAAGACAGAAAGGAAAGTTAATTCAGACCCAGACATGATCCGTTAACCCAAAATCATGCAGGAGAGCCAAACGCAGCAGCTTGCATTCACAATCAAAAGCAAATATAAAGTTTAAAATAGAGGACATTTTTTTTGTCAGTTAATGCTTTGCATTTTTTAGGTGAAGGTTGTTAGCTTTATGAAACACCATGCTGGAAAAAGAAAGGATGACAGACTAGGGATGCACAATATTGGGATTTTGGCCGATATCCGATATGCCGATATTTTAAAACTCATGTAGCCGATAACCGATATCGATACCGATGTTAAAGCTGGACAAAAATAAGTAGTCATTGAAAATAGCAGTTTTGTTATCCATTTCTGACACTTTGAAAAATAATATACTCAAATATATTTTCATATGCTGATATCAAATAGATTTTTAAAAACGCGGTATCGATCTATTTTACTTTCAAAATCTCGTGAAATTTCATCGTTCTGTTACAAACTCTCGTGATATTTTGCAAATTCTTGTGAGATTTTGTTAGTAAAATAGATCGATACCGCGTCAATATATCAACATATAAAAATATGGCTAAATTTCGTGAATTTTCGGGGGATTTCGTAGCATAACGATGACATATAGCAATATTTCATTAGTAAAAGAGATTGATATGGTGTTTTTAAATGGCAATATATCAGCATATGAAGATATTGGGATATTTTAATGTATCAATATTTTTTCCCTCGTCTTTAGAAGTTTTTAAGTCTGTAAAAAAGACGTTTTTGAGGAAGAAGAAGAAGTATTTTTTTTAGACTTTAGAAACTCAGAAGCTGATCAAATATCGGTGGGTTGGCCGATGTCCGATATTCAGTTTTAAGGCCGATACCGATAGGGGGCCGATTATATCGTGCATCCCTTTGACAGACAAACTATTGGCCATTCTAAAAAGTATTACTATATGTAGAATTTAATTAAAATGCTGCAAACCACTTAATTCTGATAAAAAGTGGTGTCTGAAAATCTCATACATGTTAAGATAATTATCACTGATTATGTGTGAGTTCATTGCACCTTAATATTAGCTGCTTGTTGCATGAAAGAACTGATGTTTTCCATAATAGTTTACCTAATTAGGCCAGTAATGATGTGATGATGTGACATACTGAAGTATAAAATGCTTCGCTACCTGTTTGTCGCGGCTGTTGTCTTATCTCCTGGTTATTTAATACATATACGTTATGTAGTTATAAAGAGTTTGTCCCTAGCGATCTCTTTTCAGGAAAAGATTCAGAGAGAGAAAGCTTCCTTTAACATACAGAAACATTACTTTTTTTCTGAGTATTTTACTTTTGTCATCCAATTATCTCCCAATATATTTGGCTTTAATGAGGAGAAACTTTTTTTAGATTAAAGGATATGTTTACTGTGTGAAACTTGAAATTCTGAAAAGTTCAAAACAGATTTTTTCTGTATTATAACTGCATTTTAAAGTGACAGTTGTGTTTTTGCTCTTTAAATTCAGCTTTTATTCATTCTTATATGTTAAAAGGCTGTTTGCTGTCCAGCAATGAAAGTACAAAACCAAATCCAGCTTATTTTTGAAACTTTATTAAAATAAAAGTACTAGTTTTACTTTCCTCATAAAAATTACAGCAGCTTAGGGACACAAATGTAGGAATCCTTTTCTTAGTAGCTGCTAGTCACTAAGTGTTCGGGGCCTTTAACTTTACATAGAAGGCAGATTTAGACTATTAAGAAGTTTTTCCTCTCCACTGTCGCTACAAGCATGCTTAGTGTGAGGGATTGCATTCAAATCAATGAGTCGATGCAATCAACTGTTTTTTTTTTTTTTAAACTTAGATAGAAAACTTTGAATCAATCAGACTGGATGATCTGGTGAACTGTAAAGTGACTTGATATGACGTTTTGTGAATTGGCGCAATATAAACTGAATTGAATAACATTAGAAATTAGGTTTAACAATCCCAGACTTTGCATCATTAAGATCTCAAGACAAGTCTGTAATAAAGTCCACCATTTCTCAACAATATATTCAACATGGTAAAATATTGTTTTGAGATTTTTCAAAGCAGCTAAAGAAGAAAATCATATAATCGTGACTGAAGCAAAGGGTGATGATTGTAGATTTTAGGACAAATGGGAAAAGACACAGGAGAGGAAGTGGAGGGGATGGAGGAGTATGAACGTCTTGGTGTCCAATAGGTCAACAGACAGGACTGGAGCTGAAACTGTGAAGCTGAAGGGACACAGCAGACTTGGGTGTTTCAGCGTTTGCAGCCAGATGCTGCTGATCTCTAGTTTTGCTGTGGAGAGCGTGATCTCTTCTGCCATGATGTGCAAATTTATTATACGGAAAGGGAACAGCATTGTTTGTGTGTCTGAAAATGAGATCCGACCAACAAGAAAAGAAGCATTTCAGCAGTATCTCATATCAAACTTTAGTTTCAGTCTCCAAGTCAGTATGTCCAGCACCAGAGTTTAAGACCTAAAGCTGTGAGCTTAGATCCAGCATAGAGCCTCTGTCTGCCGTTCTGCTCTTCCCTGGACCTCACTCACCTCATCTGGAAGACACCCAGATCTGTGCACGCTCACACACCTAAACGTGCACACCTGCACACGCACACACAGACCCCCAGATCAGAGCAAGACGATTCAGCTAAAGTGGCTTACAAGGCCCAACCAGAACACCGAAACTAAATCCAAATCTGCAACCCTCCTGTCCGCAGGGACGAGCTGCAGACGGGAGGAAACAGACGGGAGGAGAGTTTGCATTTCCGTGTCGAGCGAATCCTACTTCACAGAAATGGGAAAGACAACAGGAAACAGCAGATTCTCTGCTCGCGTCTCTCTGGAGAGCGTCGATGAAAGGTGGGGAGAAGAAACAACTGGAATAAAAAAGGGACGGATGAGTGTTTTGCACTCATGTACAGTTTATTTCTCTCCTGCGTATTGGCTGCTTATCACAGCGATGTGTTTAAATAAAAAAAGCAGCCGGAGCAGGAACTCTAACCCTTTCTTTTCCTCACATGCAGGAACACACAGGGGAGACGGCTCACTTGGAAACCCTCACATTTTACACATTGGTTAAATGTTCCTCCTACGTTCTCGGCCGAGGTCAAACACATTCCTTAGTTGATCGATTCCTCCGAACAATCTTTGATTCAACGTTTACTTCATGCTCTCTTTATTGCTTCCTTTCACCTGTTTGCTGCCACTTTAACCCCCCTCATTCATTCATTATTCATTTATGCATGCAGCCATTCTCTTATTCATCCAATCATTCATCGCCTCTCTTGCTCCCAGCGTCCTCTTCTCCTTTAACTTTAATTTCTTAGAGGACCGGCCGACAAATGGACCCCACCCCCCCAAAACAGAAGCTGCACGCCGGTTATATGTTGCCTGTCAACAGCAGCAGAAGCAGCTCATTAAAAACCTCCACCGTTTCTCTCCTCCTGACACCTACTTAGGGTGATAGCCTGAATTACCACCGCACGGCTCAGCTCGGATCAGCATATATTTACACCTTTATCTAATGTGCTGAACCTTAAATTCTTCATATATTTTATTATTAGGTAAAGATAAAAAAAACTGAAGGAACAAAGAAGCACCTAAAGATTAACACCAACTTATAACTTCATTTATCCTAATTATTAAGATGTAAAATGATCTTTTTTTGTTGCACAAATATCCATTTAAGAAAATGATCAAATCATTAAGCAGAAGACATGATGAGACGCGGGATATTGATCAGGAAGCAGCATTAAAGCAGTGGTTAAGTAATAAATCAAGTATAAAGGGAGGTGATTATTAGCATAATGTCTGAAAGGAGCAATTCAAGCCCTTCTGTCATTAAGACCTTTCTGCAAAATCAAAAATTAAAAAAATAAACGGGTGTACTTTTATTTTTTAAATAAAAGATTTTCACTTCAAGCATTTTCTTAAAATGTCCTCTGTCTCTCCTGTTCGCCAAAGTTTCTCCTTTCTCCAACTGGACTCCCGTTTTCCCAACAGTCAGGGATCAATACATCCTGATCAATAGACGACCATGAATATCAGCCCCCGAAGCCGGCCGAGAAAGACTGGAGGAGAGGAGGCAGATGGGATGGATGGAGGATGACATGGATGGAGGAGCGGGAGCCAAGAGGAGAGTGGCGCAGCTCTGAGACTCTGATGGATGCTAATGAGACAAAATATTCATGCGTCCGGTTTGGGGAAACGCTTTACAAACGGGATTCATATGCAAGTAAGTAAAGAGGCAATTTTTCTTATTTGAAAAAAAGCAGAATAATCACATTTTTAAAACTTTAGGCAGTCATATAAAGAGCTATGCAGGTTAATATATAAAAAGGAAAATTATGAATTGTATATTCTATAATTTAGAGTAAAATAAAGAGATTCAAGTAAACTATAATTTAAAAGTGACATTCTATTTCTCTACTACAAATAAATGGATAAAAAAAAATGTCTGTGAAGATAGAAGACCAATAATCTTTGCATTAGGAGTAAATAACCACATTTTTATTCATTATTATTTCCTTTAACTTATTAAGAAGAGGATATTTAGGACTAAAAATAAAGAGTTAAATATTGCTGCATGCAAGCAGGTTAAGGTGTTGTAATTTTGCAGGACGTGGATGAATTACACTGTGGGAGAGCTGAGGAGGGAGCTTACCGGGGCTGGACCGCGGGACCAGCGAGGACTTGAGTCTCCAGGCGCTGAAGTCGGACGCTGTTCTCTGAAAGACGAAGGGGACCGGCAGGGGGACAAACATGGTCCTCTGTCGACCTGGTGGTCGTTGGATTTTTTTTGTTTTTGTTTATTCTGGTCTCACTTCTCTTCTCCTTCTATCCCGGCCTGCCTTCTCTGCTCTCTGCTTGTGTGCAGCAGCTCTCAGATGCTTTTGGGAAGTTTTGTTTTTCAGTAAATCTGGACGCAGAATCACATCTTTCAGATTTGGTCAATCGGAAGGATAATTTCTAAAGAGACACCGACGCGCTGCTTGGCTTTGGGATAATAAATAAAGCTACCAGTGTTTATCCAAACAGGCCAGAGGTTTATGAGCCTGGATCAGATCAGCTCTCATCGCACCCATGTGAAGAGTCGGAGCGCAATCAGAGTCCCGGTGGCTGTGCGTAAAGATGGGAGAACCTCGGTGTCCGTCTTGAGTTTTGCTTTGGTTTGAGTTTGAATAAAAATGAAAGTATCCTCCTGTTCTGTCCTTTAAAGTCTCAAACTGTCCAACAGTGAATCCTCGGGTTGAAAAAGGAGAAAATAAGGGGAAAACTGTCCGTGTCTGAGTGGAATAGCGTTTAATTATTATTATTATTATTTTTTGGTTCTTGTAAATATTTGGTTAGTAGCTGTCTGGTCCGCAGGAGAAAACTCAAAGCGACACAACAATGCAAAGTAAAAAGATTATTTGGTAAAGAATTAATGGAATATTAAAGTAAGGCTGTAGGCAGGCAGCACCCCCTCTTTGACTCTCGCTCCTCCCTCTCCTCCTCTCGCTGGATCCCTGTTCCTCCTTCACTGGCGGGGGTCACTAATTAAAGCTAAATCGATAGAAAAATAAAGCGGTGAATCCATAGCAATCAGCGCAGCGGTCCTCCGTTTCCTCTCCAGCTGAGGAAGCGACAAAAAGAGGAGGGAAGGGCGCTTTCTTTCAGGCTGTGGTGTCTTTTCTTTGGCTCTGCTGCTCCATCCTCGGTCTTTTCCCCGCCTGGATCCCCCCTCTCTCCCTCTCTCTCTCTCTTTCTCTCCCTCCCTCCCTCTCTCTCAGTGTGTCTGAGGGTCGGGGTGCCTTCGGTTTATTTTGGGAACCCCGGTTTTTTGCTCCGACGCCGCGCAGCCTGAACGCACTCTGGCTCGGCGCTCTCACCGGGAGACAGACGTAGAGATCCCCAGCCCCCCCTTTCCTTTCACCCCCATATTCCCTCCCCTTTCCACCCAGAGCCCCGTCACCCCAACACACACACTTCCTCTGCACATCCAACATTTATATTCCTTATCATCGGGGCCAAGCACACATTAAAACCCATCGCTTCACATTTCATTACCACCATAATCCTGAACAGGATCCAGCCATTGATCATGTGATTATTTGATTATAATGAAGCCAATAATCACATCATCTCCGGCCTCAGAGATCGATCCGCTGCTCACAATGTGCGGACATGAATTCAAAGGGGAGGAACCTTTGATGCATATTTCAGCAGGTGGATCTCTGCTTCTCTCTGTATGGATTTACGCAGCTCCGGCCTGCGCAAGGTCACCTGCACATCTCAGCTAATGTATTTCTTTTTTTTTTCCACAGAGGCGGACGCCTAATCAAAGCCTGCACGGTCACGCGCGCCTCTTAAATTAGTAATTATGTTGGGCTCTGGAAGGCCACGTGCGCGTATGCGTAAAATGTGCGTAAAATGTCAGCTGAGTTGAATTTAAATTGCATGGGGGTTTTTTTTCCCATTAAGTGTGTGAATGTGCCTCCCGGCCATAGCCTCTCCCCTCTCCTCTCCTCTCCGACGCACTGCGTTTACACTCCAGATTATCACCGACATGGATTTTTTTAAATAGAAAAATCCATGCGCTAAATATCGCGGTCAATGGAAGAGAAATCGACCAGAAGCGCGCGCACCTCTCCGTCTCCCTTCTCCAGTATAAACTCGGAGGTGAGACTGAGCTGTTAATAAGTTATCGATCAATTATGGCGCCCATAGTTAGAAAGGCTTCGGGCTCTAAGCCAATGCTAATGTGAGGCAGAGGAAGGAGGGTTTATAAAGCAGCTGCTACTTGGTTGCAGCATCATCAGAGGCCGGCTGAGCTCACTTTATGGCTGCACCACTCCTCTCCTGATGCTCGTTACTTTACAAACAGCAGCCAACTTTCACAGCTCGGTGTAAATCATTAAAGTCGATGTATGACTGAACTAAAAGCTGCTGTAACAAGGACTTTTAAGACCTTACACAGATTATAAACACGGATTATAAACATAGAGCTACTAAAAACCCATGCAACAACAGGGGCGTCTCTGAAAAGTTAGAAGGGGAAGCAATGAGCTGCTTCAGTAGTTGTAAAAAAATAAATTGTCATTATTCTCAGCAATTGTCTACCCTTTAATATACCCCATTTACACTACCCTTGAAAAACCGGTCCGAGCTCAGTAACCGAGATAACTTATCGTGTGTAAATGGAAAGCAAACTGAACCGAGCTAGACACAACCGAACCGAGCTAACTGCAGACCAGTTCCAGAGGTGGGCTCGGCTCGGTTTTTCCCTGGCTCGGTTCTCTGATAACAAGAGCGCATGAGTAGAACGCGTCATCTCCGTCTGGCTGCACATCGCGATTCACACTCCATTCCAGTAGTTGGCAGTAATGCCCCTCCAGAAACAGAAGAAGAACAACAACTTCTTCTTCAACTATAAATAATGGAAATCTTCTCCATGCAACATTTTAAATAATGGCATTTTAAATAACACAGAAGTACAGCAATAATAATCAAACAGGACTTTCTGATTGTGACGGGCGCCGCCATTTTGATTTGCTTGATTCCCTCCTTCTTCGTCGTCTTCTTCTTCTTGTGTTTTATGGCGGTTGGCAAACAACTTTTGGTGCATTACCGCCACCAACTGCTTGATTTCCTCCTTCAATACTGGCAGTAATACCGCAGATCGTCACTAGGAGGCGAGGAACCGAGATAGTGTGATTTGTAAACGGTCGTCAGAACCGAGCTCGGCCTGCTTAACTGATCCGAGCTCGGACCGGTCTCGGCATGGATCGGTTTTTCAAGGGTAGTGTAAATGGGGTAATAGTCTCTTTAAAATGCCTTAATTTGACATGTGATGTGATTTGGTGCTTTATAAAAAAACTGAATAGAACTGAATCTCCAGAGAAAGAAAACTCTGCAGGCTAAGCGGCTGGTTATACTCCCAACACAGCAGGTCAGTGTGTCGCTGTTAGCTTGTCGCAGATATTTTTGGATATGTGCCCAATATTTAAGTGTGGTCTGCGCTATGTTATTCCACGGCACAACGCAAGAGGGACAGTCAGGAACTAGCTGTGGGTCTAGGTACGACCGAGGCGGCGAGGAAGTGGGGCAAGTTTGTGTGACGACGAAGGACATGAGGGCGAAAAAGATCGGGGATCCAGGTGGAAAAAGGGTCCCAGCGTTCTCGCGTACCTCGCCCTTCTAGCTGGTCCATCATCAATTAAAAGTCGTTTTCCATAATGGCGGTCATACAAACAAAACAAGCCGCTTAGGTACCAAACAGGAAATACGCATAGTGTAGAGCGGATGTAGATTTGACCAATCAGAGTCCTCCTCTCTTCAGTACTGTCTGTCCCGTACAATTTTGGAGAGGTGCACAAGAGTGTCTGCGGCAGGGGTGGGGGAATATTTGCATTCACTGCGACAGACGACCTGGTTTCTGAGTATAAATCAGCCTTAACTTTTGAGCTACAGCTCTTAGCATCCACGCAGATGGTGCAGTCGGTTGTTACCGTTTTCTTAACAGCTTACTTCTTTAGATATGGAGTTACTGGATAAAGATTTTTTTGTTTGAGATCAAGATAAAATATCTTTAAAAAAGCTTCTGATCTAGTTGTGGTTACGCTGATGATGCAGCTTTGTTTCATGGGGGGTTACATGATGAACAGGTTAGGATTTACTGCTGCGATTATTGATATTATCTAATTGTTGCGTCTTTATAGAAATGTGTTTGAATATAGATGACTCTTGTCTGCAGATCAAATCTAGCAGATAACTTAAAAAACAAAAAACCTAACCTAAACCATTTCTGATATTAGATTAAAAGCTTAAATCTTCTCCAAATTCCAAATTTGAAATGGAGCACACCCGAACAGTCTTCACATCTGAACCATCAAAGTCAGAGGTTTTTTTTTCATCTTGCCTAAAAATGGGTCTAAACATGAAGACATGACACTTTAGGCCCACATCTACAAAGTGTGTTATATTCATTGGCTGAATAAATCCCAGATGGCCTTAATTTTAGCCATTATTGTTAACCTGACTCCGCCAGATGGATTTGCTCCGCATATCCATCTGGAAACCTTCCGTTGAAGTAATTTGGGGAAGGGGCGAAAATGCTGGTTAGCCGATTGGCCTATGTTGGTGATAGACGGGCCAAATAAACCAATCAGATCAACGAAGCATATGACTTACTAACAGAGCGACGACGACAAAGAGGAGCCAATTGATAGATCAAACTCTTGCCGAAACCAGTCGGGAGAAGACCAAAAACATCTTTTCCTCTGAGAAAAGCCTCCAGAGCAGTGTTTTGCTCTTCTTTCAGTGAAGAAATACTCTGTAATTCCGATAAAAC